GTGCAACACAACCTTTATTTACTGTCCTCGAACATTAGGGGTAAAAACATAGCATAACCAGTTTGGGACTTGGCATCAAGGGACCAAACAATATATATATATATATATATATATATATATATATATATATATCAAGCCCATTAAAACTATATATTGGTTTCTCACATAAATGTCGAAATATTTGTATCTTGAAAAAATCGGAGGATATGTTAAGCACTATTGCAATATCTCATTGTAGAAGGATCACTAAATGTTGCTAGCAATCTCTTGAAGTAGATAATGAACCATTTAGACTCGAAGAGGATAATGTGAAGACCTTATAACCAAATTTTCATTATTTCATTGTCGTTGGAGCATCACTTTAATTAGGACCATATATAAATTCTATAATCGCAACATGCCCTGATACCGGCCTATCAGTATAAAACATCTTCAAGACATTTTTTAACATAGGCTAACTGGTGTGTAACATTCCTTCAAGGAGATACTGGATATACAGGTAGGTAGAGACAGGTTTCCCAAGTCTTTCATTTCAAACTCCGTCTTAAGGCATGAGCTAATACTATCAAACTCTTTATGTGTTTCAATAATATAATGGTTAAGTCATGAAAATAGACTAAGTTAACAAATAATTAAACAACTCCATTAGCCATTCTTTATGAACACGTAATGGCACACATTATTTTCATATTCCTTCTTCAGGAGGAAAAACAGTCAGTCAATTACTAACTATTTCAAGACACATAAAACCCTCATAATTTTACATTATACATGTTGCACTTTTTATTTTCTCTCATTTCGGGAATATTAAATCCATCAGAGACTTTTCAAATAAATATTAGCGTCTAATGACTTATTAATATTCGGTCATGACGTCTATCAATTGCATATTCAAATTTATTTTTATTGCCAGTGATGTTAATTAGCAGAACGTAATGTCATCTATTCTAAGAGAGTGTATTTGATTAAAAACAATTATGGGTCTCTGCGAAACTTAGTGCCATCTTTTCACCTTCTTGTCTTCCTTCGACTTACCTTGATAGGTCTTGGGCAACATTGCTGACCAAAGCTGAACTTAAATTTTACAACCGGCCTTTTGGCTTTCTTCTAAAGACAGGAAATTCTCGTTCATGTACTGAGGATATAGAGCATTCGTGCTAATAACCTGTTGTGAAACTGATCACAAGTATTCTCGATTGAACAATCAGAATATATAATAAAGTAGAGAGAGAACAAAAATACAGAGACAAATATCAAATCCTTTATTAATCATCCTTTGGTATAATATATACATTAATACATTATGCTGCAGTAGTTGGATGCCTTGGATATATTCAAGTCTGTACGAGGCCGGATATTGCTTTTGTGGTTGGAATGCTAGGGTGTTACCGGCACATTCCGGGGTTAGACCTTTGAGAGCTGTAAAGAAGGTTCTAAGGTATCTCAAAGGAACCAAAGGTTACAAGCTTGGGTTTAGGCAAACGGACAATTTAGATCTTGTCGGTTATTCAGACGTGGACTTCGCTGGCTGTGTTGATTCTCGAAAATCAACTTCAGGGTGCGTCTTCATTATGGCCGGTAAGGCTATCTCATGGATAAGTGTTAAACAGTCCTTAATAGCTATTTCTACCATGGAAGTCGAGTTCGATTCCTGTTTCAAGGCTACTTCACAAGGTGTTTGGCTAAAGAATTTTATCTCTGGGCTTAGAATTATGGATTCTATATCTAAGCCATTGAAAGTCTACTGTGACAACTCAGCTGCAGTCTTCCTAGCTAAGAACGACAAAAGTGGAAGTCGAACTAAGCACATCGACATCAAGCTCTTAGCAATTAGGGAGCGTGTCAAAAATAAAGTTGTATTTATTGAACATATTCATACTGAGTTGTATATATATACTTGATATACAGCTGCTAGAAATCAAGCAAAGAGCTATTATTTGCAAAAGCATTTCAGGACTGCGAACATCAACAAGGTATTACTGTTTGCAACCTCAAATTGCTATTGCGAACAATAGTTCGCTATTCGTAGTAGCCTATTGTTTAAGAAAAAAATTAAAATATATATATATATATATATATATATATATATATATATATATATTACAAATATAAACATAAAAAGATTAAAAATCAAAATATACAAGTATTTATATGAATATTATGGAACATATAGTAAAATTTGACGGTGATTGATGAAAAAGTAGCTTTGTTCATATATTTAGGAAGAAAAAAATCTTAAAGAAATTTTAGAAGTTATGGAGAAAAAGTTCGTAGAGAAAGTTTAGAAGTTAGGGATAAAAAGTTCGTAGAAGAAAAAAAATAAAAAATCAAAAAAAAAAAATCAAAATATACAAGCAATAATGAAAGGAAAAAAAATTATTTCAAATTTTTAGACGAAGATGGTAAAGTTTAGAAGAAAGAAAATATTGGTAGAGTTTATGTATGAAGAAAAAAATGGGATAATGAAGAAAAAAGAATTTATTGAATTTAGGTATAAGGTTTATAAAGTTTAAATATGGAGAAAAAAAAATAGAGAGAGAAAACTTTCAGAGTTGGTAGAAAGAAAATTTTGAAATCTTGGGATTGAAGGTTGGATTTCAGCTATTTATATTTGAGATGAAAAAATTTACAAAAGTCCTAAAATTAAAAAGTTTACACAAATTCATAACTTTTTGAATACTACATGACTTTTAAAGACTCTTTAAAAATTTTAATCGAATACCACTCAACTTTTAAAGACTCTTTAAAAATCTTAATTAAATACCACTTAACTTTTAAAGGCTCCATAAAAATTTAAATTAAATACTTACGAACTTTTAAAATTCTTAAAAGTTTTTAAAAATTTATAAAAATCATTATTGAATACACCCTTAGTGTACATAATTATGACTAATTAACACATCGAAAATTTCAAATATAATGAAAATACAATAATACATTTAATATGCATGATCAATAATTAATATACAATAATAATATAACTCTTCCCTTCTTTTTTTTTTTTTTTTTCATTTGGTTTACTACTACCAATGTTCACAGTACGCGGCACAGCATGCAATCTTGCAACATACACATGGTCAATCATTCATCGAAAAGCCTACTACTACTACGGCACTGACAAAGATTACTGATCTGATTCCATCACAATAATGTTTTCTTTATTTTCTTTATCCTCTATTGTATTGACGGTGGTGATAAGAATTTGAATCGCCCCATTTCCCATATTTGGCTAGCTGCGCTACTACTTTTGTATGATATATATGGTCAGATTCTCGTGGAATAATGCTTCTCAGGTAGTTATGCGGTCACGCATCATTAAGTATACATAAATGTACCACAAAATGTTTGAAAATGTACCAATATTAGATGTAGTTTATTTTTTTAGTGTGTGGTGCATTTATGCATACCTAATAGTATAATTCGCACCAATCGCACGGGAAACCTTGTCCCCCCACACAGGGTTGCGTTCAGGTGTGAACTGCCCGTCCGGGAGAGAAATGAGAATCACTCAGCGCCGTCTACGTGTCCAAATCTGACAGATGAGAAACACTAATTTAAGAAAAAAAAAACACGGTGACATTTTTGTAAATAATTGAAAATCGAAGTGCCTGTAAAATGTATTACAAGTGCAAGTAACAGTTTAATATAGTGCACTTTAGTGCATGTAAAATGTATTACAAGTGCAGGTAAAATGTATTACAGGTGCAAGTAAAATTTACACTGAACATTAAAACAAAGTGCACCTAACGTTATAACTAGGTGCACCTAAGTGCATGAATGTTAACAATGTAAAATTACATGCACTTGCAAGTGAAAGTAGGTGCACTTGTAAGTGATTTTACCTACACTCTTTACTTGCAAAGGTGCACCAGCTACTTGCACTTATAACACATTTACATGCACCAAAGTTTGAGTTATTTACGACAATGTCACTGCGTCGTTTTTTAAAAATTACATATGATTCGTTGATCTGGACACGTGAACGGCGCTAAGTGGTTCTTATTTCTCTCATAAGCGGCCGTTTGCATGAGAGTGTGCATCACACATCAAATACTTAACATTATCATAACTTATTCTAATATTATAATAATAATGATTAGGAAAAACGTTACATTAAGATGAAACATATCCTTCAATTATATATAACACCCTAACATAACGTCTTTAAAGCTTTTTTTGAACATTTGAATTCAAAATTATACATTTATTTTTATAATCGTAAACTATAAGGGGGTGTTTGGTTGGATGGAAGTCAAATTCCATGGAAAATGTTTTCCTAAAAGTGTAGGAAAATGTTATTTTATGTTGTTTGGTTGGATGGAAAATCTTTTCCATAGGAAGTTGAGTTCCTAAAGTTGAAGGAAAACAAAATCCTAGCAAGACATTGGTATTTTGTTTTTCAAAGGATTTGGAAAGAAAGTATTACAATATTGGACTATTTTACCCTCCTCGAAGTTTATTAATTACACATGTATATATTATTGTTAAGGGCATATTGATCTTTATATTCATAATTCCTTACCATTCCAAATCCAACCAAACAATAGAATTCATATTCCCAGTAATTTCTTTTTCACCAACCAAACAATGGAATCCATTTTCCTGGTAATTTGTTTTTCATGGAATTTGAATTCCATTTCCCATTAAATATTTTCTAACGAACCAAACGGGCTGTAAGTGAAATATAATACACCAAAAAAAAAAAAAAAACGATAATGAAAATCCTTAAAAATTGTGCAGGGAAGAGGAAGGGATGATGGTGAATCGGTATTGCCTTCCTACCTTAACGTCACTTCCAAAAAAAGTAAAGAGAGTTCACATGAAGGGAGCGTGCGCCATGTGCTCTACACAGTCCCCTCAACACCCACCCATTCTTTTTTTTTTTTTCTTTAATAATTTTTTAAAAAACAAAAATTAATAAAATAAAAAACATAAATATGCTCCTATATATAATGAAGTCTTCTCTTCAAATTAAGTTGAAATTAAAGGCATCTATCCCATTTGAAAAAAGCTCATCTCACGGATCTTGCCTTCCCTTTCTCCCACATCCCCATTCCCCCCTTCCACCTATTTATACCCTCTCTCCCTCTTCTTTCCCAAACAGCTGCTCAAATTATTATTTGATCAAACTAAACTCACAATCCAATGGCTTCTTGGGTTCGAACAATCACCACCCCCTTTCGGAAAGCTCGTACGTTGTTCAATCCCCAACCCCGAGACAAGAAATCCCAACAGCAAGGTAAATCATCATATCATATCCTTAGTTCTTGTTCTCTGTGTCGGCGCCCATCTTAATTACTTGTCTTGTTATTCGTGAATATAATGATTCATCCCCCCGATTGAATTGGTTAATGCCCTTTGTCTTGTATTTGGTGATCGGATAGATGTAGAAACTAACGTATTTGGATATATTGTTTGGATGGGTAGTTTTGCAATTAGATGGTGAATTATAAAGTTGTAATTTGTACTTTAGCATAGTCGGCTAGAATATAATTTGTAAAATATAAAGTACAACTTTATATAACACACCAGACATTTTAAGTTGCGAAACTCTTTCAAATTTGATGATATATATATAGAATTGAGTTTGGATTGTTGAAGTTTTACAATAACATGAGTTTTAATATTTGTGTATAAGAGTATCAAAGTGAGCTGAAATTCGTAAGTCAGGTTGAGGTGAATTAGGATTATTAAGATTACAAAAACAAAACATGGACCCTAAAAAGTGAAAACACTGGATTTATGGACGGGCCTTTTGTGGGGTAGGTCGTCTCACTTTGATATATAGTGAGATAAAGTACACGTTGTAAAGTATAAAGGATGATTTTATAAATTACATGTGAGCTAGATAGAGTATATATATGTTGTAAAGCATAACGTATAATTTTTTTTATTGTAATTGTAAAAAAATTTTCCCAAAATTTAATGTTGTTTTGGTTGTAATTAAGTTGTGGTTGGTTTGTATTGGTTTTAGGGCAATACGAGGATAATAATAGGATAGCGGATTTGCATGGGGAAGTGATGGCATGTGGATACGAGGATGTACAGGTGATGTGGTCAATTTTGGACAAGTCTAAGCCCAGGCCATGCAATATCACTTCTTCATAAGGACTGCTTTGCAAATAACACCACTCAACTGCGAATCTCCAGTTCAAATATTTTTTTTTTGTCTTAAAAAAAAAAAGAAGAAAGAAAATTGTATATATAAGTGAGTTATTATATAATATATTCTTGTTGATGAGGTGGGAAGAAGAAAGACGACGCCCAAAGACAAGATCGAAGTTGCAGCCATAGAGATAGACAAATTTTGGGCAGTAGGAAATTAATATTTAGAAATTGCCCCCTCAAGATTTGATGCTGGTGGCAACTACTTTGTACTTATTTACAAATACATCCTTTTCATCGCAAATTTTATATTTATGTCCTTATTTCAACAGCAATATAATGGATCGAGTATTATCGGATACCCTATCACTTTATACTATTTAATATTGACATATTGATTTTATTTTAATTATTTAATTATACTTAATAAAGAAAAAAATTAAAAATAAATACCTATGACTCTATGAGGTGTGGATAAGATTGTATCAATCTCTTTCAACTTACTTAAACGTCATCAGCTTCACCACCTGTACAGAAGCCATGGGAGTTGATTGAAAATTGACTAAATTAGTTTCATCACGCAAGAACTTACTAAAATTTGAATAGATTGATTTCATACTAGAACCTTTTTTTGCACGCAAGAACTTACTAAAATTTGAGTAGATTGGTTTTATGCTAGAACTTTTTTTTGCATACCGTGCTCAGATTCCCTAAATTGGTTATATATATATAAACAAATTAATTAAATGATCTATTTTCAAAAAGAAAAATTAAATAAATGATCTCTTATCTAATTTAAAAAGCACTTCATAGAAAATAATAAAATCTTTTTTTTTTTTTTTAAAGAAGAAGATATAGTTCAATGCATTCTGCATTATTAAGGCACATGTGGTGATCATTAAATTTATCAAAGCTCGATGCAAGTTGCAGCTTTTCTAATTAACAAATGTGAATAGGGAATAAAATATTACAAAAAATAAAATAATCAAAATGAGTTAGATTCCCCGTCACATTATTTATATTACTCGTATTTTTTGGGTGACAAACTCATCGTTACTATTTGAGTAATTTTTTTTTTTTTTTTTTTTTTTTGTTTACTATCGTGCAACAGGCTCAAGAATTTGTTAATAAGAATAGAATCGTGACCTTTAAACTCGAGAATGTATTTTAGGTAAATTTGGCCACTGTTTTCAGATACATTATTTATATTATTGTTCACAAGGTCGGTCATTCTCACAAGAATATTACAAATACCAACCAATTTCATGAATAGTACAATAACAATACAACTAAATGTGAATATTTCCTTTCAAAAAAAAATGTGAATATTTATATTAGGGAATCTGATTGCTCACTAACTAGCCCGAACTTCGGATTCCCATGCTAGTCGGGGTTTGTGGAATCATAGCCCACCATATTATTATGAATTGTTTTTATGATTAATAATAATTTGAGTTCTTTGGTTTTTTTTTTTTTTTTTTTTTAAACATCCAAAAAAAAATGTGAATATTTATATACTTAAGTTTATATGTGAAATTTTTTATTTGAATATGAAATCTTGGGTTTGAATGGCCGACTTTTCTATGGTGTAGCGACATGATTAAGTTGACGGATTTTAAGTTTTAACATTACTTGATAGGGAACTTGTAAGTTAAAGTACAAAGACTAATTTTTAAACGTTGTTTAAAAAATTAGTGTACCGTAAAAATAGTAATAATGGAAAAATATTTTTGAGAGAACGGTAAAATTAGAAAGGTAAAAAAAAAAAATAATAATAATAACTGGAATAATTAGAACAATTTGATTGGTCTCACAAATTTTTTACTAGTTTAATTGCAATCCTTGCGATTGTAGTTGTGTTAAATCGGAGTTGATCCAACGATCTTGGAGAGAGCTAAAAGGAACAAATTGTGGCCACTCGTCCTCTACCTTGGAGGACATTAGCCAGTACGTCTTGTACTTCTCTTTGTAGGGCACAAAAGGCAAGGGTTGAGGACCAAAGACAATGCTACTCACCAAACCAAACAAAACAGTTGAAGAAGACCAAACACAATAATTGTACTTTTGTCCTTAATCCTTAATTTCTTTTGTTTGATTTGGTTTATCGGTGATTTATCATGTTCTAGTGGACTTCAAAATTTTATCTTAATGACCGCTTGGGTGTCAATTAATTAAGAAAGATATGTTTTCTATTTCACCTGTCCTTCTAATTCAGAAAAAAAATATAATCATAAAATCAACATCCATTTATTTTTTAAAAATAAATAATTGGATTAGTGAAAATGAAGTTTTTGTAATTAATTCAAAGTAAACAACTAACTTAATTTATAATGCGAACATGTGAATTGTTGAAGTGGAGTTCAAGATTTTATATTAAAAAAAATATATGCTTACAGAAGAATTGATCATGTTCGTTTGGATGTTCCCTTCTCCTTTTGATCTGGAAAAAATATATATTCATAAAATCAACATCACTTTTATTTTACTTTATTTTGAAAAAAATAATAATAATTGAATTAGTGAAAATGAAGTTTTTGTAATTGAAAGTAGACAAGTAGACAAGTAACTGAATTAATTTATAATGTGAACATGTGAATTGTTTTTGCTTCTTGAGGTTCCCTATCCAATAATTCATTTTGGCAGCACATCTTATGGATCTGTCTCCCATGCTATATGTTATTGACCTATTCTCTATTGTTCCTGCTCTTTGCAATATTATCCTGCAGCTTTGGTAGGGTCGTTGTTCAAGTGGGAGTGCAAACAAACTTAGAATATGCTAAATGTAGTTTTATGAAATATTAATTTTGTCCATCTTTGGTAACATAGTTAGCTTATTAGTTAATTTTAGCTTATTTGACTTGGTTAAACAATTCATATGAGTGTTTGAATAATTAGTTGTAATAGTTTATTGCTTTGAAATACTAAAATTCAAAAAGTTGCTCAAAGCAGCTTTTTCGATAAGCTTTTTGAGAAAGTCATTTTGCATATAATTAACTATCAGCGAACCTACAATCAGCTAATGTTATCAATCAGTCAACCTCACTAACCCAATCACCTAACCGCTATTTACCAATCACCCGTTTTGTCAAATGTTTTTATCTTATCCGATCGCGAGGAAGAAAAAAAAAAAAGAGAAAAAAAAATATAATTTGTTAATATATTTTTTAAAGATTAATTGACCGATGACAGGTTAATAGTAAATAAGAAATGTAATAGAAAGATGGAATTGTAATGCGGAGTATTATTCAAGGAAGAGGTGAATATATGGAGTTGGGGTGGGATAAGTTGGGCCAATTGAAAGGTGGGGATTCGTTGGTTGAGATAGCAATCCAAGGAAATTTGAATTTTGATATGGTAATCAATCCAAACCAATGGCATCAAAGGTCAAGAATATCAGGTCAAAGTATATACTTTAGTCATTATATTTTTATTTTGTTTAATATAGTCTATATACTTTAAAAATGGTGCAAATAAAGATAATAGTTAATGGTGTTAATATTATAGTTAACTTAGCTTACGTGACGTTGACATCATTATTGTCAGATCATGATATTTATATTCATACTTATATATTACTTTATAAAGATTTAAAATTAATTATTTTTACCATCCACCAATATATTAAACTAGTATGTTCAAAATAAATAATTACAACCATGTTTCTAATGAGATTTGGACACTTGATGTCAGCATGCTTGTAATTATTTATTTTGGACATATTAGTGTAATATATTAGTGATAAAAATAATTAATTTTAAATATTTATAAAAAATATGAAATATAAATATCATGATGTGGCATCAATGGTGTCAACGCCATGTAAGCTAAGTTAACGGTAATATTAACACCGTTACCTATTGTCCTTAGTTTCACCACTTTTTAAAGTAGATGGACTAAATTGAACAGAATAAATGTACAATGACTAAATTGAACAAAATACTATAGTACGAGGACTTCATAGGTACTTTGACCAGAATATCGTGTAAAATTTGGCTAGCTCTATTTTACAACGCTTCTTCATTTGTGTGCCTTGTTAACAAAATATGACATTTAGATTTTAGATCTAACGGATATAAAGTAGTGAGAGAGGGTAAAGACGTGGCGACATTTTTATAAATAAGGTTTAGAAGTTTACTTTAGAGTCTAATTGATAGTTATGGTTTGTCTTTAGAGTGCCGCTAACAACAATATAAGGTACACATAGGAGTAGTATATGTGCACCTAAAGACATCATTAATTACACTTAATGTGAAAGTTCAATGCACTACTTATGGTTTGAAGTTTTAGAATTATTTATGATTTAATTTGTTTAATTTGGTTTAGGGGTTTTTTTTTTTTTTTTTTTTTTTTTTTTTTTTTTACCTTTTTAGGAGTCTAGCATTTATAATTTAGATTTGGGTTTAATTTTTTGGGTGATGAAGGACGTAGGGTGACTCGTAGTCACCTGAGAGTGTGCACTAGGTAAACTTTGCCTTGTAACCCTAGTCAACAAAGGACCACAATGAAGTAAACTAACCTAGGTTGTCATAGTTGACTTGTTCAAACTAACCAAGAAGGCTAATAAGCTTCTCCAGTTGGAAGTCAAATTTATAACCTTTTGGTTACCTAGTCAACAACCTGACTAACTTGGTTGCGGTTGTCCCTTAGGGTTTAATTTTTTTGGTTTAGTTGTATGAATTATCAATAATACACTCTGTGATTTTGTTTAATTGTACTCTATAGTGTTAGTGGTTGCACTTTATAATGTTACTAACTATTCTAATTTAAAATTTGAGTTATTTAAAAAAATGTCATTGCATTTTATTTATCTAATTTCTTTTGATCAATTAGATATTTTCAAATAGACGACTTTGATTGGTTCCATTTCTTTCATGGGGAGTGATTCTCACAGGAGTGTTAATATATATATATATATATATATATATACATACATATATATATATATATATACATACATATATATATATATATATATATATATATATATATATAGTGTAAGGTTTCCGTGCAGTTGTGCGGTTGATTAATGTGCGTGAGGTTTGTACTCAATGTGTGTGAGTATTGTGCTTAATGTGCTTGAGATTTGTACTTAATGTGCATGAGTGTGTAATGTTAATGTGCGTGAGTTTTGTACTTAAGGTGTATGTCTTGTGCCTAAGATGCGTGAGTTGTGTGCTTAATGTGCGTGAGTGTATTCTTTATCCACTGCTGTGAAAATTATGCGCATCCACTGCTGCATTTTCTTATTGTTTTTTGTTTCGAAGTGGTGGAGGAATAGATTTGTCTTGTTTTTAACATAAAATCAAAACAACTATATGTGCGTTTACATATATCCATCCATTCACACACAATCAGAACAACTTCACCCACCTTCTCTTTCTGTTTTGCTTCCTTCTAAACTCAACTCACGCACATTAAGCACAAACTTCACGCACATTAAGCACAATACTCAGGCACATTAAGTACAAAACTCACGCACATTAAGTACAAATCTCAGGCACATTAAGCACGCGACTCACGCACATTAAGTATATAACTCACGCACATTAATCTACCGTACAACCGCACGGAAAGCCACAAATGCACCTGATCCCTTCCATATATATATATATATATATATATATATATATATATGGTCCCGTTCAGTTGAGAACACCTCTTAACGTGAAAATATGCGGACTCCTTCAATAATGCATGGTAAGTTGTTCATGAATGCACAATAATTACTCCAGCTCCATGCCTACTAAATGAAGTTTTCACAATAAAACAAGAAATGGCTTGCTAGAGGCCCGATATCGGCATCATGACATGGTGGTGATGGTTGATGCGGTCTACGTATGTATTCTACTTCTCACAATAGTTTTCATGCCTTCCTTTTACGCCATAACGCTCTCTTCAAGTTCTCTGGTATCGATAATCACAATGGAACTCACAATCGTGACCTCTTATCTCAGATTGCCGATTCTTCTCATCACAGTAAGAATCATCACGTTGGCGACAATTAGTGTGGGGCGCAATCAATGCAACTTTAGAAATTAGGTTCCGTCTCTCACGATGATCATCATGATGTGACCCCGGTAATGATATATACCTAAGATCCTCGTTAGCGCAAGAAGCCCACATGTATACCAAATTTACAAGTTTAAGAAACTTAGTTAAAGTTCTTTTAAGTTAGCAACCGAATTGTGCTATTTGGTCGAGTTAGAAGTTTATTCATCCTTTTCCTATGTTATATATAATTTTTTTATTTTTTTTAGTTTTTGTAAAAGAATAATAAAAGAGAAGTAAAAGTGTAAAACTCATTTATATTCCATAAAATCAATCATTACAAACATGGAAGTGATGGATCAATAAAGCTAATCTACTCCGGCTTCGTTCATTCATTGTATATATAATCCGATAGAAAGTTCGTCTACCAATTCCAAAAAGACGGTTTGACTTGGTCAACTGGTTGGGTCATAAGTCATCACATATTTACATCACCTACTTTGAGACATAGTGTAAACGTATTCCTCGTGCTCAATTGACCGTTCGCAATGCATGGATTCATGGACATATATATTTGCGTAGATTTCTCCTTGCTGTTACCCATATTTACCAATCATGTAGCCCTACAGTGATACTCCAAGCTTCCATAAACGCTTCCAAAACCTCGCTAATCTTGGCGGCATTGGCGGATGAAGCTTTTGGAGGCAACTTAATGGTTGCGCGGTTGCGTTGTTGGTAAGTTTGAGGTTAATTAGGAGTTGCTTTCCTGTTACTGGTTATCTTGCTGGTGAGATGTTTTACAGGGCGATCTGAAAGCGGGAGAAAGGGTTCAATGGCAACGATACCGGAGGAATTTGATCGGAATTTGAGATGCTGTTACGGTAGTAGTCGTCGTTATTCTTGGAGGGTTGTCACTGGTAGTGACTCTTATTTCTTGCCTATTCGATGAAGGGAATGATGAGTGATAAAGCAATGGCGAGGAGACACGCCTGCGAGTATAACTATTTGTGCGTAATAGGTATGGTTTCAATTCAGCTAGTGTTAATGGCCTTTTGATCATTGATAATTTCGTGGTGTAGTCAAGGTGTTTGATTGTTTGCTTGAAAGAAATTAAGCATAAAACATATAATCATTTGTTGCACTGATCATCAGAGTATCATTTATTTGTTGGTTCACTTGTTCCCATTAGCTAGTCCATAAGTGTCCTATACTTCTTTTATCAATCTGTATTATTTCTTTTAGAACAATCAAAATTACAAATGCAGATTAAATAACAAAATGCAAACCCATTATTGTTTTATGTTAATTACTAATAACCCAAAAATTTGTTGCTCTGAATTTTCGTTCCCTGGTTCAGTTTATTTTTCTCATTTGCTTATGATCTCTCTGGACATGGTTCTTTGCTTCCATTGCCACTTTGAATTGATACAATTAGCCACGAGAAGCTTCTGTCAAATTCCGAAATAGGAAAAAGGAACTTTCTCATTCATATTGAAATAACATACATTACTCTAAAAGATGAGCAATAATAACAACATTGTTTGCAATCATACTGCAATTCATAAATTTAATACATGGATATGGGAAGAATACTTAAGGTAATCATATTACAAGAATTTCAAGTTCTCCAATTTGAGATAACTGAATATCGGTCTCTTTGGAACAGGGAAGCACTTGATGAGCCAGCCAATAGGCCAAGATGCAGCTGCTAGTCCAATACAGACTCCCCACTGCCCCCAATTCAGCCTCTCTGTATCAGCAAACTTTTTCAGAAACTCAACCATCACTACCTGAAGAACTACAGTTATACCAATAATCCCCACAAACAACTTGTTCTTGTGTATCCCCTGGAAGACATTCCTCTTCTCCAGCTCACGCGCATTGAACTCGTTGAACACTTGGCACAAAACAAAAGTGTTGAAGATCAAAGTGTCATTTACTTTTGAGCTCACCCTGAAAATTGACTCACCTCTAAACTGTAAGGTCAGGAGGATAGATATTTGATATAAAGCCTGAGCTAGAAGATTCCTCCACATAATGTTGGTGATTAGTGGTTCTGTTCTTCCCACAGGTGGCTTCTTCATGAGCTCCTTTGTCGGTTTCTCTGTCGCAAGTGCTAATGCTCCTAGAGTATCCATAATCAGATTGACCCATAGTAGCTGAACTGCTGTGAGGGGAACTTCTCCGGCTGAAACTGCAGCTACAAAGTTGATCACGAGGGCTGCTACATTGACTGTGAGTTGAAACTGGATGAACTTTTGGATATTGTTGTACACACATCTTCCCCATTTCAGAACTGTGGCTACAGAGGCAAAGTTATCATCCAGGATCACAATATCTGAACTCTCTTTAGCTACTTCTGTGCCCTGGATTCCCATTGAAAGCCCTATATCAGCTTCTTTTAAAGCTGCTGCATCGTTGGTACCATCACCTGTGACTGCAACTATGTGGCCTTTCTTTCTCAGACACTGCACCATTAGAAGCTTGTCAAATGGAGAGGATCTTGCCATCACACAGATTTTTTCAACTCTCTCCATCCTCTGTTCTTCTGTGAGGTTTCGAAATTCAATTCCTTCTATGACTGCTCCTTCTTCTGTTTGATTATACTGCAAAATTCCACACTCTGTTGCTATAGCCTTTGCAGTGAAGATATTGTCTCCAGTGATCATCTTGATGTTTACGCCAGCATACTGACAATCTTCCACAGCTTTCTTCACACCAGCTCTGCATGGGTCTTTGAGGCCAACAAGCCCCAAAAGGGTCAAGCCACTCTCTGGTATTTTCTCATGAATTTCACCATCTTCGGGGTTGGTTTCTGAAACCTGTTTATGAGCAAATGCAATGCATCTCAGGCTGCTAGCTGCCATACCTTGGATTAATCGATTGAATTTCTGTCTCTCATGATTGGTCATAGCTATATCTTTCCCTTCAATGTTGCAGAAGTGAGAACACATTCCAAGAATCATCTCGGCAGCTCCTTTCCAGTGAGCATGAGTTGTTCCATCAGGAATCTTCTTCATCAAAACCCCGCTTCTCTTTTTCTCTGAATTGAATGCTTCCACATGAAGAATGATATTATTCCTTTTTGTTTCCTCCATATCCATCTTGAGTTGCAGAACAGCCCATGAGAGAATTGCTTTCTCTGTAGGACTACCTGAGAATTCGAAACTCGAAGAATTAGGGGACCTGAAAACACTACCTGTTGTGTTGAGGCTAACCCCTTGGTGGAGCAAATCAAGAACTATGGCTGCAATTAAATTGTGATCCTTCCCCTCCATGGATTCTTTGCCTAACCAAAACTTGGTTACAGTCATGCAGTTCTGAGTGAGTGTTCCGGTTTTGTCTGTACAAATGGTTGTAGCAGAGCCCATTGTCTCGCAGGCAGATAGTTTCCTCACCATTGCTTTATCACTCATCATTCTCTTCATTGAATAAGCAAGAGTAAGAGTCACGGCCAAGGGCAATCCTTCTGGGATTGCAACGACTACTATTGTAACAGCAGCAGCAATGATTCCCACCACAGAGTTAATCACATCATCAGCCTTTGTCTTGCTGCCATTGAACTCTTTATTCCCATTATCATCCTTGGTATGTCCTGTAAAATATCGTACCAACAAGACAACCAGTACTAGGAAAGCGACTGCTAAGCCAACCTTACCTATGGAGGAAGTAAGCTTGTTGAGCCTCACTTGGAGGGGCGTTGGCTCACTTGAACTGCTACTGATTTTGCTCATCATCTCGCCCCAAGTTGTGTTCATTCCAACAGAGGTAACAAGCATCTGACCATATCCATCTACAACTTTTGTGCCTGAAATTAAGAATGGATTTTGGTTGTGGTTTACTTCCACATAATCGCTCTCTCCTGTCATGCTAGATTCATCGACTTGCAACGAATGCCCTTCGACAAGCAAACCATCCGCAGGGATTTGATCTCCAGTATTCAAGCAAACAAGGTCTCCAACAACAATTTCAAATATTGAAATATGTTGTCGTCTTCCATTCCTGACAACCTCAACCCGGATGTTGCTGCTGATTTTGGATAGCTTCTCAAATTGTCTACTCTGTCTGAAATCGCTTATGGCTGAAACTGATATCACAAGGAAGACAGCAAGGAAAATGCTTCCCCCATCATACCATCCTTCTTTTGCTCCATCCTCTTTCATGCCAAATGCAAGAGACAATACGGCACACACCAAGAGTATGATGATGGTTGGATCTTTGAACATATCCCAAACAAATTGGAACAAACCTTTTGTTGGTGGCCTGGGATAAGTGTTGGTTCCATACTCCTTATTTCTCCGCGAAATATCTTCTGCATCGCCACTAATTCCATTTTGTAAGTCACTGATGAGATCAGCGGCTATACCTTCAATGCCGCCAATGTTTGCAAGATTTTCAACGCTTTTCTCCCTGACCAGCTTAGCAAGACTCAACTGGTCGAGATTTGAGATGAAAAGTTTTGGTTGCTGTACTCCATCGGTGGAATGTGTATCATTATTAGACTGTATAAGAGACAGTTTGTTGATGTTTTTGGGATCTTTACCATGTCTTAGGTGATAATTTTCTTTGAAATAATAAAACAGAATGTTTGAACACTTGATTTTAACAACTGCTACATGCCATCTCTTTTTGCTGACAGACAACCTCAAGTTTGTTTTGAGGTTGACCACAACAAAGTCCATGCACATTCTGCTTCTTTGAGGTTCTGTCCACATCTGCAATACCACAAGTATTTAATTAACTCCAATAACAGGATATATATACATATACTCCGTAGTTTTTTATTTTTATTTTTATTTTTATTTTTTTTTTATTTTTATTTCAAAATGGAAGGGGAGACCCAATAAATGCAATTATACATATAGTTTATTGACTCATAAGCAGTGTATTTTGAACAATTTGTACTCAATCAAGATTGTTGCACACACAGCTTATGTGTCAATAATTTTCCTTGTGCTCAGATGACACCTCTGTGGCTCCTCTTCCGGGAACGTCATAGGATCGAACTTTGGTGGTGAGGTATTGACTCTTTGAAAGTATAGAACATATACTACTTGTAATAGAGTCAATAGTACTAAAAAAAAAAGATTGTTGAAAGTTTTAAAAGTATTTAATTTTAACTTTTAATTTTTTTTTAAAAGTTTATTAGTATTTTTAAAAAAATAATTTTTATAAACACAATAATATCGACTTTTTGTTTTCGTGTTAGCTTTACAGTACAAAATTTTCCTCCCATAAGCTCTCTATAATTTATTTTTAAATATTTTTTTTTGCCTAAACTTTACATAGTTTTCCTGATAATTTTTTTTCTCTGATCATGCAGTCTATGCATACATAATACCATGTATATATGGATGATAGGCAAAGCAGCCCTTGGTATCTCATGCCTCATGCATAAAAATAATATTTTGTTTTTTTTTTTTTAAAAACAAAAATAATATTTTGTTCATCATTATTTATGCCTTTGATTAAAGATTTGATATAAATTATTTATAATTTAATTTATTTACATTATCACTAAAATAAATTTATGAATTTATAAATTATGTAAAAAATAATATGAATCGAAATTGCATTGACACCAATATCATGTTATTAAAATGATTTGTATACAATTAGAGCTGTCAAAACGGGCCAGCCCGGCCCATATGGGTTGGCCCGTCACGGGTTCAACTAGAAACGGGACGGGACGGGCCGACCCATTTTTTCACGGGTTGGGATTTTCCCAGCCCAACCCGTGTAGGACGGGCTGACGGGCTAAACGGGCCAGCCCGTTTATTATTATTATTTTTTTTAATTTACGTGATTAAAATATTTATTGTCGTATTGCTTAAAAATTGAAGTCATGGCCTCTAAGTTAGTAACCAAGACTATTTCCAATCAACCACATTAACCATGGTTAACAAATATGTATATACACATATAACATATACACATATGACATATACACATATAAAAGTAGATTTTAGTTTTTAATATGTAATTATAATTTATTTAATTTATATTTAATACTAATATATTTTACATGTAATATTTTTTATTTGTAATTATAATATATAGTATTAAGTTATAAAGTTTATAAATATATAATTTATTACTTTATGTAGTTTATATAATAAATAAACTTTAAATTAATATTTATATAATGATACAATTAATTGTATTAATTAATATAGATATATATTTAGTATTGCTTGTGAATGATGTAAATAGATATATAATTATATTAAAATGTTCAACATGTGTTCTTAGTGTAGTTGGTTTCAATAGTAATAATTTAATAACTTAAATAAAAGATCAAGGGTTCAAGTCTTGTTAGCAACAATATTTTTAAACATTAATAAAATACCCAATTATACAACACATTTGGAAGTGGGGTAGGTGGGGATACGGGTTATACGGGCCAACCCGTATAACCCGTATCCTCCACGGGTTACACGGGACGGGCTGAAAATCCTCCAACCCAACCCGTGTAAAATACGGGTTAAACGGGCCCAACCCGACGGGTTGGGCCCGTTTTGACAGCTCTATATACAATCACCATTACACATAATATTGCTACAAAAATATTATAAACCTGTAGAACAAAATGCTTTATTTCTAAAATTTAAAAATTAAATAAATTCATTGTTGTTTAAAAATAACCTATGATATTATATAATTTTTCTATACTAGTATTATGCATACAATTTTACTCCAACCAACATGCATCTAATATATAAATGTTAATAATAATATGTAAATGACTGGTATGCTTTTATGTTAATAATAATAATAATATGTAAATGTTAATTATATCGTTATCTTACGTAGCTACATTTAAAATTATTATTAAAACTGTCAATGTAGGACAATAGAACATCGTAACACACTTGATGCACTGAAAAGATGTCAAGACTACAACAATGCTGCAATCAATTTGGCACACTTAGAATATATATATATATATATATATATATATATATATATATATATATATATATACATGCTCAGTACAAGAGTATTTTTAGTAATATATAATACAAAAGTTGTTCCCTGCAAAGGGAATAGCTCATTCACAAGAATGTTATTCTTAGGAATAAAAGACGAAGACAAACAATGGAATATGTCTATTCCCGAGAATTGTATTTCATTCCCAACCTATGAATCAAATATGTTGTTAAA